ACTACTGTAGTTAAAACTATGTCCTCTGAGAACGGCAGTCACTGGAGTTAATAATAAGCAGAGTGTAATTAGCCTAAACTTTACAAACTAATTACAATTTGATCGCGGATTGATTTCATCTAGTAATTTCTCTTTGACTGTAAATATATATTTTGAAAATAAATCAACTTAATTTTCAATCACATGCTTAATTAATATTGTCATTGCAAGTAACATAATGCAAGAGGTTACCCGGTAACTGCAAAGCATATCCATTGTAGTAGAAGAAAATATTTATAAAACCATCTTACATAAAGAATCTAAACTAGATTTTATAAAAGCAATAACAAGCTGACAATATTAAAACAACTGAAAGTAAATTTCAAAGCAAATTTGATTTTAAAAAAATGCACAGATGCATAAATGATGACTATTTTCATAAAAATTGCAAAAATCTTTTAAAACCATTATAAAATTTTATAAAACTTTGATGAATATAAATATGAATTTCGAACATGACAATCATGAACAAAATGAACGGATGTAAAATGCTGACTATTTTCATAAAAATTGCAAAAGTCTTTTAAAACTATTATAAAATTTTATAAAACTTTGATGAATATAAATATGAATTTCGAACATGACAATCATGTACATAAAAGAATGAATATGATAAAAGGATTATACAAATGGCAAGTTCTAAAATATTAACTTAAATGCAGATATGATCTGCATTTTTTACAGATTTGTTTTATTTCAAAATCAGTAATGGTAATCAATTCCTTGACAGCCAAAATGAATAATCTCCATCAAAGAGCTAGTATATGTTGGGAATAGCAATCAGGTCTAATGTAATCAAAGCATTCAATCATGAAACAATGCTATTGCTAGTGCAAAAATATATTAATTTTCAAAAATTATTATTACAGAATTAATTTTTGTTTTTACAGTTATTCTATGTGTAACATGAAATATTGTTCAAATCAAGTGTATACATATTTTTTCAATAACTGACATGTCGTCATAACCATGCGTGGTTGTGGTTACTAAAAGCTATGAGCTTCATGATTATGGTTACAGTAATTTGCAACCATTTAAAATTCTACATCATAACAACAATGATAACGAGAAACAAAAAAAGAAAAAAATGAAAACAAAAAAGAAGACTGTGAATTATTTACTGTAGTGAATTGCTCAATTGAATTTTCTATTATTTTAATTTTAATTTTCTTCGATTTACAATGTTTCTATTATGTGCACTCAATGTAAATACATCAATAACAAATTAATATATTAATCAGATTTGTATTTTCCTATATCCAATCTTTCAAACTTAAAATAATTTTTAATAATTTTCATTCATTACAAGTTCATTACATTTTTTCCAGTCATCCAATTAAGTTTTGTGTGTTTTCCACCAGAGGTGCCTCTATGTTAGTACTATTTCAAAAAATCATATATATATTCAATGATTATCAATGACTTTCTATTACTTTATATTAATAAATTAAGAGTTTACTTTTATTTTCATAATGTATTACTAACCATAATATACAGAAAGTCTTATGGCTATATTCCATCACAAAATCAGATTCACGTGATCGACTCATGTCGTAAAATTAAATTTTCTTAATTTGAGGAGCTGGGAAATTCAAAATAATTTACATAGAATAAATTGCACACTCTGTGAGAGGAAGAAATCACTTATTGCATGCTATTTTCAGTCCAGCAAAGACCCTTTCAAGGTCATTACATTTCTTCCCATCCCTCCATGAAACTTATTTAGAAGCAACAGAGTTTTAGTGGGAAAGTGGATCATTCTCAATAACATTTTTGAAAATCCAACTTTAACTCTATGGCAATATTTTGTATGCTTTTGAAATTCTACAGGTTATTTGAAGATGAAAATTTGCAGTTAAGAAAAGACATATCACAAATCATCAATCTGTCAAGATTGGCAAGATTATTATATCCACATACTGTATGTGGCCAGCAGCAAAAAACCCTCTATCCAACAAACTTTTAATTTTTAGATTAGCATTTATAGTTTATGAGATATAAGTGCAACAAATCTTGCCATTCTTTTGGTCACTCCAGTTTCCATAGAACCCCCTATATCGAACTGAATTTAAAGACGTATTCAGGTCAAAACTGAGTGAGAGTTACAGACAGATTACAGGTATAACTTATGTGGATTCCCTGACTTTCAATCTGATCTGTATGGATCCTGTATATTGCAAATTCATAAAATTATAATAAAAGCAATCTTTTTGAAAGAATGTACTAATTACATTGTTTGAAATACATCTNATGAATATAAATATGATAAAATTATTAAGTTCAAAAAATTATTAACTTAAATGCAGATTTAATCTGTATTATTTTTAACTTCAGAAATAATCAACGTAATCAATTCCGTGATCATCAAAGTGAATAATCTCCATCAAAGTGTATGTTGGCTGAGGCAATTGGGTGTAATGTAAACAAAGCTTTCAATCGTGAAGCTATTACTATCCCAAAAATGTGCTAATTTTCTAAAATTATTATTACAGAACTAATTTTTGTTTTAGTTATTTCACATGATATAAAATGTTCACATCAAGAGCATGCATATTCTCAATAACTGACATAATCATTGTAATCTCAAGCACTTATGATTACCAAAAATCACAAGCTCCACATTTACAGCCTGGTTACTGTTTCAGAAATTTCTAACTGTTTTAACTCTAACGTTGAATGAAGACAAAAACATGTTTCACGTTATGAACATATAAAATCTATTTAAAATTAGTATACTTTTAATCTATTTTACAAAATAATTTATTGGAAAAGTAATGTTTTGGACCAATTTAATCTGGCATTAGTTCAAGTATAACAGTCAAAAGATATGGGTCTTGATAACTGTGTTTTTTGTCATTTTTCAAAAATTTAGTGGTAGGTTTGGCTATATGACTGATAGCTATATTATAATGGAGATCTACTCTTTAAAGGCTCTGTTGATAAAGAGACAGTGTTTCTTTTTTAAATACAGGCTTTAAAACATTTTGGAAATATGTAGAATTGATTTTAACATTCTTCACTTTTCTTAACTTTAATTTTCCATTGTACAAAATACTTGTAATGATCATAAATCCCAAACTAAAACTTTCTTTGGATTCTCGGAACCAAGTTTGGAATTCTCTCTCTTCTTTGTTGATAGTAAATCACTCTTTATTTCATTAATCATTTAAGTAGAATTATGATTTATCAATAATCACAATATATTTCAATCTCTCTCTGGCTAAATGATCCAAGACAAAGCAATTTATATTGTGTTCTGCAACTAGGAAAATGGCAGTGAATGATGTTTTTTGGATGTTTTAAGATTTAAATCTTTGTTTATTTTCTTGTTTACAGTTGATACAGAGAGATTTATAGACATTGCAAACTCTTCTTTGAGTTGGCAGATTTTCTTTTAAGACTGTAGATCTTACTTTTGAAATTGTTGAAGATGAATATGCCTTCTTTGAATATCTGTTTGTTGTTCTTCTGGTTGAAGCAATGCATTTTTTTTTTCTATTATTAATAATATTGCTTATTTTGCACCTAGAAATGTTAATTCCATAGATTTTGTATTTTTCTAACAACAGACTAAGAATATTTCTCTTCTGGAAGAGAGACCAACCTTCAATCCAAAGTTTAAGTGCTCCATTTTGAAAGCACACCACTATTTTCACTTCTTTTTATAACCTGTTGCAACATATATATAATCTTTTGAATTATTATTTTTTCAAAATTGCTGTAAAAATGTGTAAACACCCTTTGGATATTATATCTCCTAATAACTATAAAGTTAGCATAAAATGCTAAGGTTCATTAATTTAGCAGGTTATATTTGATTTTTAAAACATCCAAACTTTTAAAATGGAACTGCTTATTACTTCTGAAATATTTTCCAAAATCTAATTTTTATTGAATTGCCAAATTTCGATACTTGTTAAGAACAAGAAAGCCATTTCATTACTGCTAAAATATTTCTATGTTTTATGTATAGTAAAACGCCAATATCAACATATATGATATAATTTTCAAGAAAAATTGTATATAAGAAGAAACTTTTACAAATACTTCTGCAATTCAAGCAAATTATCAGTATGTAGTCAAATATCCACTTGACAATATTGTACTAGAAAATAATCATGGATACCTTATAACAAAACATTATTATTAGAATTGTACTAATTTACAATTTATTTATTAAGTTTTTGCTGTATATATTATTCCCCTTACTATTAGAGAAATAATTATCATAGTAATTTCACAGAAGTTACAATACTTGAATCTATCAAAATACGTGAATCTATCAAAATTTTCAATTTAAAAATTAATGACAGACTTTAGAAATGCATTGCATTTAGAGAAACAAAATACAAAATTATTATAATCATACCATAAATTCATATGACAATTTATATTACTGCAATTATTTGTGACATTTAAATAAAATCTTTTATCATATTAAATCAATTGAAAACAACCATAAATCTGAATAATTATTTTTGTAGTATCAAGTTGTGAGGAAGTAATAATTGGAGAAAGTTAATAAACAAGTATGATCTAATTTATTTCAAAATAAAATTTCAAAAAAATAAAAGCAAAAACCCTAAAAACGTGCTAAAATCAGAAATACTTTTCTGCCGAAATTTTTTAAAACTAACATCATCCAAAATAAAACACTACTGCGTAAATGACATTAAAAATTAGTGTGTAAATCACTAATAATGATCTGATTTTATTATTGATTTTAATAGTTAAGATGTCAACCTACCCACAGGAGAGCTAGAATGAATCCATATGAATCAAAAACCCAAGAAAATTTTCAGGGAGTTGTCAAGCCCTGTCCCTCACCCTATTGCTAAACCCACAATAGACTTTCTTTCTTAGTGCTCTTTAGTATTAACAGAGTAAGCCTAACTCTTTCCTCTAATACTCTAATCAAATTTTAAAATTTTTATATTTTACAAATTTCAAAATATTCTTACTTTGTCACCACAGGATTTTTATACGAATGACGACAAATGAAACATTTAAAAGGAAACTCGTCGTCGTCAGAATCGATTTCGTATCGACTAGTATCTTCTTCTCCATATGTATTATTTGCCATTTCCATCTCGAGTTGCCAACCATGTTTATAATCCGAACGATCGTGCATGAACTTGCAACTATCTGTAAATTCAAGTCTATACTTAGGCACAAAGATAATTGCTTATTCATCTAATTAAATTTCAAACAATTTATATTTCTCAACAATTTTTAAATAACATCAATCATTTAAAAAACAATTACCTCCAAATCCACAAAATCCCGTTTCTTTATAATCTTTACATATATCGGGTTGGTAATCCCATCTCACGGTGGCTCGGAGATTTTCGGGAGCTCTTATTGGCCCTTTTCTGATCAGGAAAATATAAACTATTATTTTTTTCCTTAAGCAAAGTTATTTATAAGTATTTAATGCTTAACCAGACTATTATACTAAATATTAAAAACTTAAATAGAAAAATTAAAGTTTAATGAATACTAAAAACTTAATACTAATATTTATATTAACATACAAATTAAGAATACAGTCATCTCGCGTTAATAAAAATCACTAGGGAACAGTAGTTGGGTTTGCTTTGTCGAAAATTCATATTAACGATTTTTGGGGTCAAGGTTGTATAATTTAGTGAATTAAGACTTAATAGGAAATTGAAATCTTTAAATTGTAATATTCTGAATTAATTTACTAAATAAAGTTAAATTTATTTACACAAACAAATTAATGTTCTAAATGATTTTCAAATCAAACAAAATGAGGAAGAGACAGTATTCACCATTTAAGTGTGGAGCAATATATCAAAGTTGTTAAACAAAAAGCTAAAAAATAATCTGCAATTTGTTTTTTCTGCTGAAGATTGATTGAAAAACTAAAAAATAATTTTTGGTGCCAAAAGAGTAAAAAAAAAGCCAAATTTGGCATCGCAATATGCAAACAAGCAGGTATTTGCATAAAACTGCATCTATTTAAAGAGGTGGGCATTCATAACAATTATATTATTATGTTATAATAGCCAAAAAAGTAACATACATTTAGTAATTCACAGATATCGAAAGATCTTTTATTTAGCATTTTTGAAAAAGATCTTATTCATTGGTGTTTTACAAGTGTGGTGTTATTTATGGAGTATTACATCAAAATTTGACTATTTTCAAAACAAAACAAAAATGTTAATTAGATAACAGAAGAACTTAGCTTTGTAAGAAAACACACATAAAAATGTAATTGTATATAAAAAAATCATTTAAAAGAAACACAACTTTTTCTTGAAAATACATTTCCTATAGTGAATTTTCTAAATAAAACACGATACTTCATTGGTTGAACATCCTCTGTATTCATCAGATTTGACTTCCTCTGACTTTTTCCTTTTACCAAAATTGAAAACTGCATTAAAGAGAAAACTTTCAAAGACATGAAAGCCATACAAAAAAAAGTGAAAAGAATTCAAGGCCTTTCAAAATCTGAGTTTCAGAACTGTTTCTAGCAGCTCCAGAAATACTAGAAAAGGTGTATTAAATCTGAAGGAGAATATTTTGAAGTGGCGTCTTCAGCGACAGAAAGTGCTTTCGTTTACTTTTAAAAAATAATTCTCAGAACTTATTGATCACATCATGTATGTCATTTTCTTCTTTATTACTAGATAAAAACTTTGCTACTTGAATTTAAGATAACTTCAATGACAGAAATATCCTCAGGGTTGAAATTAAGTAACACTGCAAGCTAAGCAGAAGAAAATGCTTATGGCTAAACAGAACTAATATTCTTTTAAAACTTTATGAATTAAGAATGTTTTAAATAATTATTCTTAAAGTTTTTTTCTTTATAAATTTAGTAAAAAAGATATATTATTATTATTATGTTGGGTTTAGTGGGTTATACTTGGTTGATACCGGTGGCTGTGTACTATGCCGGACCAGAGTCAAGGCATAGCAACCAAAAACAAAAATTAAATAAGTGTGTATTCAGGAATTTCCTAAAAATGTGGCATGTTTTCAATATAGTGGCCTTCTGTAGTGTGATGTATGTATTTCTATTCAATTGTAATGTTCCCAGGCTTTTGTGTAGTGTGTGTGGTATCACACCTATACAGGAGAGAACGAAAGGTACTGTACAATAAGCACCCTTTCCATCCTCCACAGATGCCTTATTTCCTGGGTGAGTTCTGTGTACTTGCTAATTTTTTCAGTGTATATGTTTTGTACATTTTGAGTGTTTGGAATGGATATGTCTATAATGTATATGATTTTATTGTGTTTGTCAATGAGTGTGATGTCTGGTCTGTTGTGGTAAATTGTTTTATCTGTGATTATGGCTCTGTCGTAATACATTTTGTGCGTGTTATTCTCCAATACTGTCTGTGGAATATACTTGTAGTATGGTTTGTGGATGTCTGCCAATTTGTGTTTCTTTGCAAGCTCTTGGTGTATTATATTTGCTACTTGATTGTGTCTATGTAAGTAATCTGTCTGTGCCAAGAGCTTACAACCAGAAGTGATGTGTTGTATAGTTTCTGGCATGATGTGACATTTTCTGCATGTGTCATTTGTGAGTGTTGTATCTTTGAGTATGTGTTTTCTGTAGTTTTTAGTATTTATGACCTGATCCTGTATGGCAATCATGAATTCTTCCGTCTCCCCAAAGAGGCATCCTCAATTTACCAGCTGTTTGATGCAGTTTTGTCAACAAAATCCTGGGCCAGGTCATAAGGATGCCTGCCATGGAGTGCCTTTCGAGCCCACGATTGCTTAATGGTGTCTATGCTTTTTATGTGTTGTGTCAAGTCTGTATGATGTGAGTGTAAGTTTAATGGTGTGTTATTTGAGTCTACTAGAGTTATTGCTTTATGTAATTGTGATGTTTCTTGTTTTCTGTAGAAAAACTCTTGCAGTGACTGTATTTGCTTGTAGTGAAGGTTAACTATGTCAATCAGGCCACGTCCGCCATCTTTACGTGGAAGGGTTAATCTTTCTGTGGCGGATTTAGGATGATGATGTTTATGTTTAATAAGTGTTGTTCTTGTTTTCCTTTGGGGTTGCTTGAGATCTGTGCGAGTCCAATGTATAACTCCAAAAGAGTATGCGAGTACTGGGATGACATATGTGTTTATTGCTTTAACTGTGTGTTTTGCATTTAACTGTGATCTAAAAATAGCATTTAACCTACTTTGGTATTCTTTAATTAATCTTTGCTTTATTTGTGTATGTTCTGTTAGTTTGGCCTGTTGGAGTCCTAAATACTTGTAGAACTTACCCTCTTCCATGGATTCAATAACTTCTCCATTTCCAAGTGCAAAATCTTCTTTCTTCAGGACTCCTTTTTCTATGTAAAGTGTTTTGCATTTGTCTAGGCCAAACTCAATTTGTATGTCTTTAATGTATGAATGTGTGATTTGTAGGAGTTGATGAAGTTGTTTTTGTGTGGATGCATAAAGTTTTATGTCGTCCATGTACATGTACATGAGATGTGACAGCGTAAACGGTGTTGTTTTTTCATGTCTGATATTGTAGCCATATTGCATGTTGTTTAACATGCTGGATAATGGGTTCGGGGCTAGGCAGAACCAGAGAGGACTCAAGGAATTTCCTTGAAAAATTCCTCGCCTAATGAATATTTCGTTTGTTTGTATGGAAGTGTTACTAACCCTGAGATGTAGTGTTGTTCTCCAGTGCTGCATAGTGTTTTCGAAGAATGCAATGAGTGATGGATGTATTTTGTACATGTGTAGAATATGTAGCAGCCAACTGTGTGGAACACTGTCGAATGCTTTTCTGTAGTCTATATATGCCATGTGTATGTTTCTGTGTTGTTTGTGTGCTTGCCGTAGAATGACTGAATCTATGAGTAACTGTTCTTTGCATCCCCTGTGATTTCTACGGCAACCTTTTTGTTGTTCTGTAAGAATGTCGTGTTCTTCAACATGTTTGTATATTTTGTTTGTGATACAGGATGTCAATAATTTGTAGTGTGTTGGAAGACATGTAATTGGTCTGTATTGTATGGGGTCTGTGGTTTTGTTGTTTTTAGGTTTCATGTAGGTAATGCCCCGAGTAAGAAATTTTGGCATGTCTAGTGGATTGATGATGATGTGTGTTAGATGTTTAGCTAGTTCCTGGTGCAGTGATGTAAACTTTTTGTACCAGAAATTGTGAATGTTATCTACACCAGGTGTCTTCCAGTTGTGTGTTCTGTTCACAGCGTAGCAGATGTCGTGTATGTTTATTTCAGCACAGGGCATAGTCGGTATGTTGTGCAAGTTTCTGTTCTCCTCCTTAATCCAGTCTGCATCAGCATTGTGTGTAACAGCATTGGACCAAAGAGAAGACCAATAAGTTGCGAGTTCTTCTTCTGTTGGTGTGCCACTATGCCGTGTATCAGTGTTTGTTTTGGTACTGATTTGTCTGTAGAAAAGTTTTTCATTGTTTGTGAATAATTTATTTTGTTGTTTTTTATTATTATTAAAAAAAAATCAATGAACATGTTCTTATCAGGGTTTGGAAATTTATGTTTTTTTTTTTTTTAAATAAAACTATAATACATGTTTTATTTAGAATTTTTTTTTTTTAAACAGTTTTATATTACATTGTAAAATACTGCTTTAAAACAATGTTTTATTATATAAATTTAGTAAATAAACTTTTACTGACTTGTGAGCTAAATGTAAGCATGGGAACGGGGAATTTTTCTCTCTCATAGGTCATGAAAGTACGTGACACGTGACTTTTATCACTAAGAGGAGAGTTCGTGACAGCGCATCCCAGTTCATGCTGTTAGCAATATAGCTAATGTATTGTAATACTACTTGGATGGAAAAAAACATTATTATTATTGTTGTTACTTGTTAAGTGAAAAATGGGTGCAGGAAAAAGGCTTGATAATATCTGGAACCAGTACAAACTAATTTATGGAAATCCAAGAAAACCAGCATGCAGGGTGCAATGCAAAATATGTATGAAAGAAATGGCTGGATTAGTCACTCATATGAAAAAACATATTGAAGATAATCACCTACAAGATGATATACAGGAATTGCAATAACTGGGAGTGTATTTCAAACCATTATAATTTTTAAAATTTTCTATTCACTTGTGCCAACGATCGATCTGGCATCTAGCGGTATTAGCGCAAACTACATAATGGCGACTACTATGGGTATAATGCAAGTCTGTGGTCAGTAAGAATTAGAAAGTGTTTAACCTACAATGGTAAATAAAAAAGCAAAATCAGTTAAGCAAGCATGATTCACTGGAAACTGAAGAAATAGCAAAGGCCAGGGTACATGTTGAACGTGCTATTCAGAGAATGAAACTATTTGCTGTTTTAAAACAAAAATTAGACTGGACTTTACTGCCACACATCGACAAAATTCTAACCATTATTTGTGGTGTAGTAAATTTATCTAGACCAATATTGGGTGATGACAAATTTTGAAAAGTAGTGCAAGCATTTTCATTTTGACTATAAAATGAATGAAGCAGTATTAAACAGCAATTTAAATTAATACTGTTTTTTCATAATCTCATAGTTAATAAGG